TCATGATTATTTAGTATTTTTGTTATTATTATCTATGATAGTATTTCAAGTGTATTTGATTGAAGTATTTTAGTTGTTGATTATTTTTTATTTTTTATTGGGATAATTTGCGAAATACCCCCATAAGTTGAGATATATGCCAAAATGCCCCTGAAAGATGTGGGTAGAGCGGAATGCCCTCGGGCCTCGTTCTTTGTGTTCTGCCCCTGTCAGGCCTGTGTGCAAATTTGTAATCTGGATGCCGCCGTTGGGGCCCTGGCCTGCACCCGGTTTTACCTGGTTTGCCCTCCATACCGGGTGGGCAACTTTGCGCAATACCCAGGCCCATAGGCCTTGCAGTTTGCCTCCGACTTTCAAAGTCGTTCAATGTCTCTGCCCCTGCCTCACGGTCGGCAGCTTCGTCCTGGCAAGCTTGCCCATCTCCAACTCCGCCTCCCCCGCCATTCCTCCAAGTTCTTCTCCTTTGCCCTCTCCGACATCCTCCTGAGTCCTGGCCGTCTCTCTCTCTCTCTCTCTCTCTCTCTCTCTCTCTCTCTCTCTCTCTCTCTCTCTCTCTCTCTCTCTCTCTCTCTCTCTCTCTCTCTCTCTCTCTCACACACACACACACACACACACACACACATACACACACACACACAGTGCACCTGCTAAACGACAGTGCCTTCCCCCCAAATAGAATGCATGTCCATTATTGGTCTAGACAGAAAGTTGCTTCAAAAAATAAGAGCGATAATAATGGTCGTGCGTTCTCTTCAAGGGCGCGTGGAAAAGGCCATTGTCGGCCTCCGACGGCCAGGGGGCAAAACACAAAGATGACCGGGGCTGGGAGGGGTAAGACGAAAATAAAATAGGGCCTGGGAGAAATGTTGGTCACAAGTAAGGTGCAGACGGTGGCGGTATGTGAAGGAGGCCCGAAGGCGACAGGGCAGTATTTGCTTTTCCAAGTTGCACTTCGAAAGCGGGATTCGGTGCAGGACCCCGGGGGAATGGCAATGGCAGTGGTTGTTCTGCAGGATGCGAAGGAAGATGGTGCAGCTCCAGTGTCTTACCACGGAGAACATCTATAACTCTCTGTTGGATCCGGTGGACACATGCGGCGAATTGAAAAATCGATGGGCCAAGAGGGATTGGATCCCAGATGTATATGTCAATAGATGGATGGAACAAACAAAATGCTATTTTTGGCTGCCCTGCCAGACCAGAAGCAGGCAGGCCTGCTGTGGCAACTATACCATCTGGTGGTGCCCACAGCACAATGGCTTGCAGCAAGGAGTCAACACAAAGACCAGCTATGTGCAGCAGGATGCGGCCAAGCGGAGACCATTCCGGACCTCTTTGTGAGAGGTGCCGGGTTCTAGACCTTTGGGGAATGGTGGGTGCAGGAAATGGCGGACGAAACCCCCTTGGGGGTCACAGAGACGGATGATGCAATTATCCTTCTGGCGGCTCTGATGAGGGTGGAGTCTGGTGGACAGATCACACCTGGAGGACCGGATGGCTTTAGAAATCATGAGGGCAGCAGTCCTGTGGGCGCTGTGGACTTTTGAGGAATGAGCGATGTAGGCGCCAAAATTACACCACCACTGTGGGCGTACCAAGAAAGGGCGATGGAGAATATTACAACTACCCTCTTCGCAGATCGGCAGCGCTTGCAAGCATAAAGGAGGGCAGGAGGGAGGCTTTTGTGCACGATGGGAACCTTATCTGCAATTGCTTACCTGAGGCCCTCAGACGGGCCAGATGCAGCTGGGCCCTGGCCTGATGCGTCATGTACCACGGACGGATGCAGAGGGAGAAGAAGAGAATGATTAGACAGAGGGGGATAGACTATCATAAGAACGGCCGGTTTGTAACATAAGTAGGATGTGGGAAATGGGAGAGCGGGAGAATGCGACAATGGGAGGGAGAACAAAGAGTTGAGAATGGTAGGTGTAAAGGAGGGATGGGGTAGGTGTAAAGGGTGGAAGGTTACGGGGGGGGGGGGGGGGGGGGGGGGATAGAGTTAGGTTACAGAGGGGTTTAATTTGAAAACATAAAAGGATGAAGCCGGAGGAGATGGGGGTGGAAGAAGAGTAGGGAAATGCTGGGGCTATCAATGATAGAATGGAGGTACATAACAACAGTGTATATTATAGAGTCATGAAAGACTATATACAGTAATTCAGGGATAGGAGAGGGGGGAAAGATCAGACAGAGATCGAAATGAATCAGGTGTCATTTGAGAGATAGACAAACGTATGATAGGAGGGATTGGGAGCTACGCAAGGTTTGAAGTGGTGGAAAACAGGTGTTCAAGGGATAAGCGGCCCCAGGGGGCCTGCTCTGAAACTCCCCACCGTACACCGCCCCCCTGAGATGGACCACCCTGTTGCGTGTCTGGGTGCTGCTAGGAGGAAGCCTCCCGGCCAGAGGCTTTACGGTCTTAGACTTCCTTCCCTGCGGATTGTCCGCAACGACGCATTCATTATTGGACACTCGGCGGAGGTTTCAGCATATAGGGTCATCCACCGTGAAGGGACAAAGGCTTTGGGGTTGGAAGTACAGAAGCAGGGCCCCCTTGTTTAACCGTCTAGTGCCACGAGGGCTGGGCTGATCTTCTTTCTCTCGTTGTCTCTTCTATTGGCTTTGTAAAGCATGCTTGTCGGGGATAAGGAACCGGACTGGTGCCTGCAATCAGACCCGCTATCTTTCACACTTCACATGCATGCAAACAGGTGTGCAGCAAACTGGCGACAAGCGCCCACTCAAAACTCAGAGATATTGTAACAGAGAACACAAACCGATACAAGTTCACTTCAATGGCTATGGGGACAGCACACCCACACAACTCTCTGTTCGCACACTCAGGATCACCCTGGATATCCCACACGCGATACTCTGTAGTACACACATACACGCACACACGCTACACTCTACCTACGGCTGTAGCGGCTATGGCCGCTGCTAACCTATCGCTATGGCTAAGCTCCTTCTCTCTCGCCCACTTCGTCCTCGGGCTCACTGCAGACCACCTCGCACAAGTCGTTGTGGCAGCGCTTCCGCATGGCTCACGTAGGAATGAATGAATGGCTGGGCGCTGTCTCTTGATTTATACTTCTGTAGCTCGCTGGTCTAGCCCTTTCCCATGCCCGTAGTGAACACAGTCCCATGTGGTACTTGCTTGACTGGACTAGGAATGACTGGGACTGGGACTGCTGACTCAGCACGGGTAGACTCCACCACTTGCCCACTTGCCTCAGCCTAAACATGGGCAACTTCGAAAGGCCACTATTCGGACCTTC